ATACAGCAGAACATACATTTCTGAATCGTTCGCTTTCAACATCGAGCTGTGCCAGTAATTCGTCCACCTCCTGTGATTTTATCAGTGCTTCTTCGAAATTCTTCTGTACCACTGCATTGATGATTCCGTTCACTTCTTCAATACGTCGAATGTAAGTTTCAACAAGCGTCCGACTTTTTATCTGAAAACAAAATCACTGCTGATTTATCGGCTTGTCGCATTAAAGCAAGTAGCTTGATTTTCAGCAGGAAAATATTTTAAAGTTGGAAGAAGGCAGAAGCAAATAATATCAAGAAATTAGTAAAAGTAGAAATAGAAGAATAGAAGGATTTCACTTGAATGTCGTGTATGTATGGAGACATTTTATGACGCAGCCTCTGTGTTTCATCCCTTAGCTGTATACACAGGCCGAAAAGTGCATGCGGGTAGGAGTGGGAATCCTCCTTAAAAAATTATTAAAAGTTGTAAAATATCTTAAAAAAATTATTATAATGGTAAGAAATGATGGAAGGAAAAATGGTAGCAATGTTATATTATACTATCTCTATCCTAATGAGCAAAGCAATCCATACGTTCTATTTACTTCCTATTTTTATGCAGAAAAAAATGGATTATGGGTTTTGCACAGAAAACTACTGGCAGCCTTGCTTATGGATTATTTCTATTGGCAAAATGCTATAAATACGATCATTTTTCAACGCTTTTTTTTTACGGAATAGAGAAGAATGAGGTAAGAAGAAGTGGAGAGGTAAAAGACTGCAGCATTCACAAATGGCCTAGGCGACAGCGCTCTGCCAACAAAACAACTATTTTTTTTAAAAAAAAAAAAGAAACTCATTGGATTTCCTGTAGCGACTTAATGGACCGAAACATTTCTTACCATTTATGATATTTTATTCCTGCTAATTTTTTTAGTATTATTTTTTCTTGTCTTTTTCTTCCAACTTTAAAATATTTTCCTTTTCCAGTATTATTTGTAACTCAAAATGCACTTAGTGATGCCTCAAAGAGCAAAAATCAGAATTACAAGAGTGCATCTGTTGCATCATGACTCTCTCCCAGGTAGGTCGTGTAATGGCGCGAAAGCGACCTATATAAGGCTGCCGTGTCAGTGCTGTAAAGCAGTATCGATCCAGTGTGGGGTTGTGGAATTGTAGAGGCGACCCAGACGACGCATGAGGGACGTGGACTCTCTGCTACTACGTTGAATTTTGCGCAGTCGAGGAAACGCCCAGCCAGTAAACGCGAACACATCGTTGACACTTACTTCACGTTTTCGGATCATTTCTGCAGCTTGCGTAGCACTGATCAGCAACAGATTATCCCGGGGAGCTTCGACCATCCGTTTTGGTATGAAATAGTAGAGTGCGGTGAAAAAGACAGAAACAGCATTGAAATAAATTCGTGAAATAACAAAAAATACCGGCCTGAACAATTTCACGATCGTTATCAACATGTTAGCCCCTGAAACACATATTTCAGTGCTGCATTAGCTGATATCATCAACGGAAAGAGGAAAGAGAAATAACCGCAAAAGCACTGAATT